TGGAGGGGTTGAAGGGAGACAGGGGAAGGGGGAAAAAATAAGAACGAAGAGAGATTATGTAAAGGTCCAAATCTCCAATGATGAATGTCATTATATTGTATACCTAAAATGTACCAGTAAAATTAATTTGTTTTAAAAAGCCAAAAGAAAAAAATAAAAAGAATATAGGCTTTCAAGTCCGGCTTTCGTGTAACTCTAGGTTTCCCTTTTCCCTCAGTCAGCCTTCCCTGTAAAATTAGGACATAGTACCTACCTCACAGGGTTGATGTTAGAATTAAATGTGATATGAACCTAAAACTCTTATCTTCCTGTCTAATATCGACTGTAACTGTTGAACTTCAACTGCACAGGCTTTATCTTTACACAGAAGATCCTCACACACAATACAATGAAAGGACAGAGATTAGCTATGAATCACAGATGCAGGAGGTGCAGAAGGGGTGACTAGCATTGATAATTCCCTGGCTAAGCTCTGAGGTCTCCTAGAGCAATATATTCAGCCTACAAATTTGAAGACTGACTGTATGTTGTGGGCATGAGGGATGAATAAGTCTCAGTCTTGGAGCTCGCAAGCTGAAAGAAAAGGCAGGAATAGATATAAATAACTGTTGCTTGTGAAACTACAGAGGTCTGAACACAGAGGTATGGGAGAGTAGAGGAATAGTTGACTCCTTTACCCAGAGGACATAGAGAATCCTTCACAATGGAGAACACATTTGATTTGAGTTTTGAGAAATGAGAAGACAATCACAGAAAAGTGTATTTCAAATATATTTCAGATGATATCAGTGAAAACAACACAGGAAAGACCTCTGAAAATTCTCTCCTCCATATAAGCAGTGAGAAAACTATCAAAGAAATTGTCAGAATCAACTCTTTCACATTTCTGGAAATTAACCAAAGGTTTATAGCAGTCTAGAAAGTGTCCATTCAAAAAAGGCAACATTCTGGGTGTAGGGGCACACATCTGTGGTCCCAGCTACTTGGGAGGCTGAGGGAGGAGGACCACAAGTTCAGGGCCAGCCTGGACAACTCAGAGAGACCCTGTGTAAAAAGGGCTGTGGATGTAGCTCACAGGTACAGCACTCGCCTCACATGCATGAGTCTCTGGGTTCAATCCCCAGTAAAACACACACACACACACACACACACTTGTGCACATGCCCTGCTTGCACATGTGCAGGAAACACCTAAGGAAGGAACAAGCCTGTCACCTCTGGCTTATCTTGATAGTCTTCACAAACAAGAAGGCTAAGGTGGAGTTGTAAACTTCCTGCATGTCCCAACATATTTACAGCGTCCCTGTGGAAAGAGGGGAGACATATTAGTCCCAAGCAACAAGACAGTCTGTTAAGTCATTAGCTGGCCACTAAGCAGACTTCAGTGGCCATACATGAGAAAGAATATAGGCTTTATAGAATTAGTTCTGAAAAGTCACTAAGTAAATGACCAACAGCAGCAAAAACAAACCCTAGGGGAAGGGAAAAATCTGACCTCCAGAGTCACTGTATTACATTACATCATTAAAAATCCAGTTTTCAGTAAAAAATTATGATGCACCAAAAGAAACAAGAAAACTAAGGCCCATACACAACGGGGATGAGGGGTGTCAATAAGCAGAACTATCCTTTGACAAAGTCTAGACAGTGGGAAACCCTATGCACTCTGGAAGGAAACCTGCACCTTTTCTGATACGACCTAGATGGTTCTCATACAGGACATCTTAGAACCCTTTCTTTACATTCATGTTGGTAGAGGGAGGAAATAGTGCTTACAGGAAGCATTCAAAAAGCTGTCTGCTGCCCAGCTGATGACCCAACTCACCTCTGAGCTGACTGCTGGCCTCGCCTTTCGATCCTACCGCTCACCATGAATTGACCCAGGCTCCTGCCATATGCAACTGCCTGCTCCTTGGACATAGCAGCTCAGTTCTTGTCCTGTTGTCTTCTTCTTCCCCTTTCATCTGGATTTTCCCCCAAGAAGGCTGGCAGTGGTTTGCACACTTAGAAGGGAGAGCTCATGCTACTTTTATACAAGTCTCAGCAGCTGGTCTCCTCCCTAACCCAGCCCCATTTCTGGTTATGCCCATTGCCATCAAGCTGGCTGTGATATAATTATTCTGGGAGTGGCTCTACTAAGCCCCTTAGATTCTGCTAAGGATAACTTATGGAAATTGTTATGTAGATTCTAATCTCTATTAAGCCGAGTAATGAAAGTAGAAGGAAGTCACTGAAGACAACAAAATAATAATTAAAACAAAGTACAGTCAGCTCTCAAAAATCTAGAGATAGATTAAGACATGGTAGAAATGAGTACATGAAGGGTTTTCAGTTCTGATGCCCCTACCACTTCACAGTAGCTAGCTATCTTCTTTCTTTTCCATCTTTTTTCCAAATAAACCATCTTTTGTTACACATTTTTTGTTATAAAAAAAATGAATACATGATATTCTCTGCTCTCAAGAGTTTACAATTCATCCTCCCCTCTTCCCCCATCCTCTCTCCTATCTACCTTCTCCTGGCATGGACTCTAGCCATGGTCTTTTAGGGCTGACCACAAGTTTAGCACAGCCGTAAGTCCAGTTGTTCCTTCAGTCGATTTATAAAAGCCCCAGTCTATGATGGAATCACGATCAGTGTAGTCTGGGCCCCATCTCTCTCGCTGGCCACCCACACTTTGAGCGTGTGAAGCATTAGGAAGCCCTCTTCCATCTTCCCTTTGCCTCCCCTTCCCTTGAGCAGCAGGCCCTCTGTTATCCCAGGTGTTCAGCTCCTGTGACTCCACCCTACACAGATAACACTGATGCTGCTTTTCAATAATGGCATGAAAAACTGCATTCAATTCCTCCCAACATCTGACAACTTACAGGTCCTGGAAAGTCACTGCAGAGTGAACCGGGGCTATTGAGGCCTGCTGGATGTGTACTTTGTTCAAGAGAACTATGATGATAGGCAGCAGAGTTTCTTCCTGGCAGACACTGAAATATCTGTACTTAATATTTTCTTATGGCAACCATCTCCCCCTAGAACACTGGATCTTCAGTACTGAGGCACATCTCCTCCCCATACTCCATGCAGATAAAAAGGAAGTTGAAGTCCCTTCACTGCATACCTTTGCTGCACACCTTTTCCTGGTAATAATGCACATGATGAACTTTTATCGATAAGTCCATGCTTATTCTAAATACTAAAGGTTTTTTGCAGTCTTTTATGTTTATTATGAGGCATAAATACCCCTAAATTCCTGTTCCTTCCTTATTCAGCCAGTTGATTCACAGATTTTATTCGTCTGGTTTGTTTTAACAATCTGTTACCAGGCCGGAGATATAGCTCAGTGGAGCAGTGCTTACCCAGCAAACGTGAGGCACTGAGTTAGATTGCCAGTACAAAATAATAATAATCATCATCATCATCATCATAATCATCATCATCATCTATTATTACTGCAGATCATCAAGGTGTGGCATCATCGTCACTTAATGAATAAAATGGTATGCCAATGATCTCTTCATTATAATTTGATTTGACTGCTGAACAGTTTCCTCCTCTATGAGATGGTGTCTGCTTTAAACTATAATGTTTTGCCATGTTGCAAAAGCCATAATAATAAATGAAGTATAAAAAAGCTTTTTCCTTTTCAATATCATGTCAACATGGTTTTTCTGTCCACCAGAGACAGATCTTATAACTGTGACAACCTCCTTATGAGGGTCTACCATTATTTGATAGAATGTCTCCTAAACAACTTCACTCACCTTGTATTTCAGATTAGAAAGTCATCCCCAAAGCAAAATCTCATGTTGACCTCAGTTCATCGAAACCATAGTATTTTGGTTGGTTAATTACATTGTCTTTTCCTCATTGGTGAGTTTGTTCTCGACTTTTGCTTTAAGTGTCCAATGTCATTCTGGAGCATGGACTACTTAATTTCTTCCACTCCTCACTCCACAGCAAGTGAGTTCCCAAGT